TACAACCTTATAGAAACTACACCATAACTAAAATTGCTTAACCAAGGTCAATACATCCCAAAAAAGTCTAAATTCCAAGCCTATACTATAAGACTCAAACAACCATTTTGCTTTAACCATTGGACCCTAGCAAAGGACAAGCAAAAGCTTTATAAGGACTTGATAGGCATGGTACATTGGGTACGATATCCATTAAGCAAGGGGAGCCCTCCTCATGTGTCTAGAGGAAGAGATTGATGCGGATTTTTTTTCTTCTAAAAATGTGTTTCTCGCACCATGAGGAGTGGGGCCTATTTCATGGGAAAAAAAATTAAGAAAGATAATTTTGGAAAAGAGAAAATATTAAAACATAGGACTTCTAATAAAATGAGTTTTTTTTTTAGAAGAGGTGAGCCAAAAAATTAAAGATAGAGGTTGAAGTCCTTCATTTATCTCTCTAAGTTTTTTGAGGTGAAAAAAAGTTACAAGAGGTTTTTCTCCCAAAAAACTCAAAAAGTTTAGGGCACCATAGAAAGTTGAAACTTGTGTTCTCCAATAAAGTTGGAAAAAATATCTTTTTAATTAGGAAAAAAGGATAAATATCCTATAGGGGTAATCCTATATTTTTCTATGTTTTTTTTTCCAAATCAAGTTATAATTAATTTACTTGTGAAGAATGAATGCAATTATTTTTATGTAGTATGGATTTCATTTATAGTGCACCGGTTTTCTTGGGTGTCCCATCCCATGGTAGGAGGGGCACTAATGAAATTTATCCTAAGGACAGTTTGAGAAAGTAGAAAAATTGTGACTTGATAACCATCCACACAAATAGATATCTTAGGTATGGTTTTAGTATGGGTAGATATCATCTCTTTCTAAAAAGATAAATAGATAGAGATGGACCATTTATAAAAGGTAGATACTTTTTTACTACTCTCTCTTGAAGTTGTGCATGCCTCTTAAGTTTCTGTATGCCTCTTGTGGGAGCATCTACATTGTTGAGAGAAAGTTAACCTTTTCTTATTGCGTGTTTGTTTTTTTTCAAAAATATCTTTTGAAAAATTGAATGTTTTGTTTTTAGTAGGTTTAAATAAATTCTGAGTACAATTTTTGATAACCTGTTGGAATATATACATATGAACCATATAAATATAAATATATAACATGCATAATATCATATATAATATAATATATTTTATATTTTTATTAACGTATATAAATATATAACATATAATATAATATAATTATATATGGGAAAAGATGGGACTAGCCCACTAGCTCATATGAACATATGAGCCCAACGTCCTAGATTGATTCTTGGCCCATCTAACAATCACGGATATCGGATAGTATTA